ATTATTATTATTATTATTATCATCATCATCATCATCATCATCATCATCATTATCACCATCATCATCAAAATAGGTTCCATATGAAACAGTCCCCCACTCCAAACTGTTGGAAACAGTGTGGAGAAGTGGGGTCCTTCCACCTCTGTTGATGGCGATGCAGATTCATCCATGAATTTTCATTTTTGGTTTTAGACAAAATACATCAGATAACAGGCTATGATGCTCCCTTTAGGCCTGAAATTATATTTTTGAATTTTGGGTCTGATCCCTCTATTCCGAAAATTTTAAAAAGACTTAATTTAAGTATTTTTAGTCATGGCAAAAACTGCTATTGCTTTGAAGTAGAAAACCAGTTTGATCTCTGTGGTTTGATAAAATTTAGAATATTTATGTGACGGAACAGATACAATATAAGCTCTTTCCTAGAGAGAAAATATTTTCTGTTATAGATTATATGTCAACACACAATTTAACTCCAGACAAAAAAAAATCAGTAAATTTACCAATCCGTTGATAAGTCATTGGTTGATTGTAAAAGGCTCTCATTGCCAATACATACATACATACATACATACATACATACATACATACATACATACATTCAGAGGTCATTTCGGGGGGGAACGCAGGGGATCGCAGTTCCCCAGAGTGAGGTGCAGGGGGCAGGGCACATGATGAAGCCCCACCCCCTGCTTCCGGCCGCCCCGCTTCCAGCCCTCATTCAGCCAGGAGGAGGCAGGAGAAGAGGAAGGGTAAGTTGCTTCCTCCCCGCCTCTCCCCACCCCTGCCTGTCTGGGGCCAGGGAGGGCCTTTGCAGGGCTTCCTTGCACTCCCACCGGCCTTGCAGGTCCACCACCGGGCCCCTGATGTCAGGGGGTGTGGAATATGCTATTGAGTTATGCTAATGAGTTCCCCTAGCTCTTTTTCTATGAAATGACCCCTGCATACATTCAATAAAATGTTAAATGGGGGGGGGGAATCAGACCAGAGGAATCACAGTGTCTAACAGAACACAGCAATAAGCCAAATAAAAAATCATTGAAATGGCAGAGGTAAGAACAGATCAGCGGCTACAACAATCATCAAAAAATCCTGCTCCATGTTCACAATTGGCAAACAGGATGTGACCTAAACTAGACAGTGTTCAAGCATCCTTAACAACAATTCTTTCCTCCCAGCAACCTACTAAGTCAAGGCTACTTTTCTGTATGCTGAAGAGTGTGATTTTATGGCATAAAGGAATATGCTGCATGGTAGAAGTCAAGAAATCCTGACGCTGTCTCATTCTTCATGTAACCATGTGGGGGAGCTCAAGAGCTTACTCTACAGTACAGCACACACGGGGTGTTTCTGCACACTCGACCTACTCTTGATTTTCTTGGTAGTCAATCCACAAGCATTGGAATTGATCTGGGCACAGTTGTTCCACATGGCTGCCCTGCTTCTGCATTTTCACTATTGTGGACTCAATTTATTTTCTTCCACACATGCCTTAAAGAATCAGGATTTTCAAGAAAGGGTGCTGCCGCCATCGGCGGCATCATCAGTGACATCACAGCATCCGGCTTGTTTATTTTTAAGCATGTTTATATTGATATACTGCTATAACAGTAGGTCAAACAGGTCGAACTGCGGCTAATCTGAGCCACATCAAAGTTGAGACGCCGCGGCGGGATCTCACGGATTCCCCGAGCCGCGGCGCCATCGCTCCCCGGCACGATCAGATGCCAGGGAGAAAGCGACGGTGGGAAGGGGAGCCTGGCGAACTGCGCATGCTCACACATGCGCAGTTCGGTCAGGAGCCGGGGACGCACCGGCTATCCCACGGCCGCACTTGCCGCGGCCCAATCGAAAGAACCACCCAGGTAATACTGGGAAAAATGGGGAGTAATATATAACTGGCTAAGGATAAAGAAGATAGGAACTAATAGAGATTAGGCTAGCCATGTTAGGTTAAAGTCTAAGATGGAAGCGTAACAGAACTGTATAACTTAAAACTATAATCAGATGTTTGAGTCTTTATGTGTTGTTTAACATTGTTTTTTTTTTTAGATTGTTAAGTTATTATAGTGAAATGGAAAAACCAATAAATATATTTTTTTTAAAAAGAAAGAAAGAACCACCCAGGTAGGTGGTTGTTTTTTGGTGCGCTGTATGGGTGGGATGGGACGGATCGGAGACGGTAGCACGATGTTCCCCGGATGTTGCTGTGGGATTGCGCCCGTTTGCTCCGGCCCTGATCCGTCCTTCTCCCGGCCCAAATGGCTTGTATGAACAGGGTGTCAGTTGCCAAAATTCCCAACTTTCATTTAAAAACATGTCTCAATCCCTTTCTCTCACGGAGATAGAAGGAAAAAAAAATGCATATCTCTGCACGCGAAGGCTCTAGAGACTTACTTAAACATAATATAAGCTGGGAATTCAGTGAATCTGCTTGACTTCTTATTACAGTAGTATGTCGATATACTGGTATTGTGGTGCCATTTTATTAAAACATCGAAACTAAACCACTCATCATCAGGGCAGGGGGAGAAAAGAGGGAGTGGTGTGACGATGACAACATTCCAGTCATCAAAAAGTGCGCTAAAGATGGCTGGGAGTGGATAGGACAAAGAAAACTAACAGAAACATGACACGTAAGGGAAATGGTGACTCAAAGTCAGCTTCCAGAAAAAGATTTGGGTAAAAGTGGGCTCAAAAGAAGTGGAAAAACTCGGCGGGGGGGACAAAAAAAGAGAACAAGGTAAAGCTATAGGGACAAAAATGTGTGCAGAAATAAGGGGGGAAACCAAAGCAGCATGGTGCCAGAAACGATTGAAAATCCATGCGGAAAAGCCCTGTGTCAGAGAACAAGATGAGATTCCTTAACACTATCCCATCATCCATCCGTCAATCAAACTACCAATATCTGCTTCTCTCCTTTCACTTCGAAGTATTCTTATAAATTATCTGCACAGTGGGAGGGCTCTAAACTACTGTTTAAATTACTGTGGGTATGCAGTCCAGTTATTGGCATTAATTCCAAACCCAAGGGCTGTGCTCTTGTTGATTGCCCTTACAGCCATCCCTTCCTCCAGAGTCCTGAGCAACTCTGGGATGCCCTTCCATCCAGGCAACTGACAAAGTTCGATTGTTCCCAGCTGGCAATGGCTGGGGATTTCAGTATGTATTACTTTGATCACAACATTTAATTAATATAAATTAATACATGCCAATCACAGGCCCTTTGGTGTGTGTGCGTGTGCGTGCGTGTGTTTGTGTGTGGCATGTATCAGGATGGACAACACAGATCCCCTCCACTGGCAAAAGAGATTTCGGCCCCAGTCACACGGGCAGGAAACTGCAGAGGAGAAGCGTGGCTGTTTGCCCTGGGGCAAACTACTGCGCAGTTACGCGATCAGACCTCCTGTGGAGGTCCTGTGGAGGTACCATGGAGGTTCCATGGCAAGGAAGAGGTGCCGATCACAGGACAAGCCGGTGCGCAACGAAGAAGTGCGCGCCGCGGCAAACTGTTTTTTATTTTTGTGTACATGACAAATGCGCATGCTCCGTTGGGTGCGCATGTGCATCCACAGAGACTTGGACAAAAAACCCCACCTTATTTGCAAGGGGACATGGGCGGGCGCCGGATGCCACCGGAAACGCGATCAGACGCCCGCCTTTGCCCCGCAGTTTCCGGAAACTAGTACCTCCAAGGTACTAGTTTTTTGCCACGCAGTTTCAGCTGGAAGCCTCGGTTGAGCCACGGGAGTGCTACGCTTCCCAGATGTGCTGGTGAGATCGCGCCCGGAAACTCCGGCTGTTTTCCGTCTCACTTGTGTGGCTTCTGTTACGTGTGACCGCAGCCTCACTTCAACAGGAGAAGCCTGCCCTGATTCAAGACGATCATCACAAATTACCAGGATTTGATCTTACATCTTTGGTGCAACTTATCTCCCTCCCCAGGAAAGAAGGATTGAAACAAAGCAACCCAACCCCAATCTGTCACAACCAATGTTCCCTCTAAGCTGTGAGGTCTTGTGAGCAGAAATTCTACTTTGTGAGCTACTGGCATTAAAGTTGTGAGCGAGCAGTTTGGCTACTGCATAAATTAGTTTGCTCTGGAGCCATCCTTCCTGAGCTAAGACAAAAATGCATGAGCCAGAGGCTAAAAAACTGTGAGCTAGCTCACACTAACTCAGCTTAGAGGGAACACTGGTCACAACCCTAAGACACAACCCTTTTGTGGTCAGGGTGAAGCATCACTCACCCAAGAACGGCACATCCGGCCTTTAAGTATCCTCTTTCATCAATAGGGCCAATCAGTTCATCTATAAATAATATGAAGGCGGAGCCCAGATGCAAAGAGGAGAGATATAAGGGGCCATTATTGGTAACACTTCCCATATCATCTCTTATTTTCCTTTTTTCACTGCATAAACAAGCCTCTCATCATGTTCTGGCCTCCCATTCTCAGCCTTCTGGTGATGTGGTTTGCAGGTGAGAGCAATGCATACTCAAAGTACTGTCAAGAGGAGTTTAGCTGATAAACAAAGTGTTTCTGACAATTTCTGCCATATGCTTTTTTTCAGGTTCAGACTCTCAGCCTGTGCTGACTCAACCCCCATCAGCATCAGTGTCACCAGGGAGCACAATGAAGCTCTCCTGTGTCATGGGCAGCGGGTTCAGTTTCAGTGGCTACTACATGTATTGGTACCAGCAGAAGCCTGGCAACCCCCCAAGATACCTCTTGTACTATTATTCCGATTCCAGCAAGAGCCAGGGCTCTGGAGTCCCCTCTCGTTTCTCTGGGTCCAAAGACACATCTGCAAACACAGGCTATTTAACCATCACAGGAGTCCAGGCAGAAGACGAGGCTAATTATTACTGTGCTACCCATTATACCAGCGGGAGCAGCTATGTGTAAACACAGTGATACAGTCAAATGGGGAACTGAGACAAAATCTCCCCCGCCCATGCTTAGTGCAGAACAACAAAGTTTTGCAGGAGGCAATTTTGTGGTCAAAGGACTGGTCTCTGATCTACCAGGATCTCATGGAACTTAGCTTCATACTCATAAGAACATAAGAACATAAGAGATGCCAATGTTGGATCAGGCCAAAGGCCCATCCGGTCCAACACTCTGTATCACACAGTGGCCAGAAATACCAGTGCCATCAGAAGGTCCACCAGTGGGGCCAGGACATTAGAAGCCATCCCACTGTTGACCCCCCCAAGCACCAAGATGAGTTGGCCTGACTCTGAAGCAAGTAAGGTTCTATTGGCTTACCCTACCATCAGCCTGACCCACTCCCCACACACATTTAGGATCATCATTCTGGCCTACCATGGCCCCGGTCACATGGGCCGGATATCGCGGGGGGGGAGGCGTGGCTGTATGCCCCGGAGCAAACTACCACGCGGCAGCCGGATCAAACGTCCCGCCGACGTCCCGTGGTTGGGGGGAGGTGCCGATCATACCTCACTCCTGCGGTGCGGCAAAGAAGCGCCGCCGCGGGGGTTGTGTTGTTTTTTTTAACCCAAGTGTTCGCATGCGCCGTTGGGTGCTTGTGCGCACCCATGGAGACTTGACCAAAAAAAAACCTTTTCGCGACATGGGTGGGCGCCAGATGCCACGAGCTAACACCGGAAACATGATCTGACGCCCGCCCTTGCCCCGCGGAGGTACTAGTTTTTTACAGTGCATCTTCAGAGTGAAGCCTCGGGTGAGCCACGGGAGCTCTACACTTCCCAGATGTGGCGGTGAGATCGCACCCGAAAAATCCACCTATCTTCCGTCTCTCTAGCATGCCTAATGCTCCGTGTGACCGGGGCCTAAGTGAGACTCCAGGGGAGAACTCTGTAAACTACTTTGGCTGCCCAACAAATGTGGATAGTGAAGGATTAAACAAATAAGAAAATAAATAAATAATTTCTTTTTTCTTAATTAAAATTATAATAATGACTAGAGGCAAGATATAAATACCCTAAATACATGGAAGTTTTTACACTGAGGCCATACAAAAATATGAAGAGCTAAAGGTAAAGGTTTCTTTGATCAAAACCCAGTTGAACCTGACTCTAAGGGGCAGTGCTCATCTCCATTTCCAAGCCGAAGAGCCAAAGACATTTCATGTGGCCGGCATGACTAGATGCCGAGGCGCATGGAACACTGTTACCTTCCCACTGAAGTGGTACCTATTTATCTGCTTGCCATTTCTTTCAAACTGCTAGGTTGGCAGGAGCTGGGACCAGAGATGGGAGCTCACTCTGTCACGCAGCACTCAGGTCTCGAACTGCTGAACTACCGACCTTCCAGTCCGCAGTTCAGCATCTTAACCACTGAGCCACCACAGAAGTAAATATTAAAAAGATTCCTTCTTTTCCCCTTTCCCCATTCAAGAGTGGTTCCAGCCAGGTCAAGATAGTGCCTTCTTTCGTGTTGGGAGACAAGCTGGTTTAAGAAGGCTTTTTGATGTTTCTAATAAGGGAGGTTTACTAGAGAAAAATAAATTAGAAGAGCTACTAAATAAACCAATTCCTTGGTTTAATTACTTTCAACTAAATCACCTAGCCCCAAGACTCCAGCTTCACAAACTACATAACAGACTGTTCACACCTCTTGAAAAGATTCTTAAAAGAGTTGATGATATTAAATGAGGCTTTGTTAAGATGACATACAAATTGTTGATTGAAAACTACTCTACTAATATAACTAGATTTCAGAAAAGATGGCAATCAGACTGTAATATGACATTATCAGATGAGAACTGCATATACTATCTTAAGATCTTCCCTCTTTAAATCCTCCACGATTTGGTACTAAGCGTCAGTCTTAAAAAAATTTGCCACGATGGTACCTTACTCCTCAAAAAATGTTCCATATAAAACAGTCACTCCAAACTGTTGGAAACCGTGTGGAGAAGTGGGGTCCTTTGACCACAGTTGGTGGCAATGCAGATGCATCCATGAGTTTTGGTTTTCGGTTTTAAACAAAATATATCAGATAAAGGGCTGTGATGTTCCGTTTAGGCCTGAATTTATATTTTTGAGTTTTTGGCCTGACCCCTCTATTCCTAATTTTTTTTTAAAAAACCCTTAATTTAAATATTATTGAAACCCTCTACTGGCTAAAAACCCAAGAGAGGAGATCCTCACTAGCTTCATTACATCAAGTCTTCACTTCATTTAGATCAATATAAACTGAGCCAGACATTTAAGTACTTTTTCTTTTTCATTAACTCTTAAAACTTAACTGTCTAAGAACAGTACCCCCCAGTCATCCCCATTCACAGTTCTCAAAGGCAAAATTCAGAGTCTTTCAGCCTTTACTTCTCTTTTCCTCATCTCTTCCGCAGCTTATAAGGACTTTTGGGGGCAGCTGCCCCTTGCTCCGTCAGAGAGTCCTCTCCGGAAGAACCCGAGTCCAGCTCGCCACTAGACTTGCTGTCCTCTTCTTTTTTTCCGTCCTCTGGTCTTCCCAGCTGAACCCTTAGAAATTCTTGGGCTTTCAGAACAGAGTCAATCTTTTCTTTTTTATCCTTAAACTTGAAAGTAACAACTTCTGGAAATAGCCATTTATATCCAATTGAGTTTGTCTGAAGGAAAAGCACAAGCTCTTTGTACTTCTTTCTCCGTTGTCTTGCTTCAAATGGAATATCCTTTAGCATTCTGATAGTATTTTTCCCCACTTTCAGTGGTACTCCAGAAACTGCTTTCCGGATTGCATCCCTCACATGACTTCTCAAGAATCTTATAACAATTTCCCCAGGCAGATTATTTTTCTTAATATAGCCTGAATATGATTGATAGACCACATCCATATCGCTCAGCAACACTTCTGCCTTCATTTCTGTCACTGGGGCTAGCAATTCACTCATAACTTCTTTAAGATTCTCTCCCGATTTTTCCAGCATGCCCTGGAAGCGAAGAATCATATTAGCCTTTTCCATTTGCACTTGTAACAGTTCCCCTTTTCTGTGATAGTTTTTGTAGTTTGAAAAAAAAAATCCCTTCTGGGGCTCAAATTTTTTAAATATTATTAGTGGCGGCAATAAACTGCCATTGCTTTGAAATGGGAATCCAATTCATTACCAATGTTATCTTTGTGCTTAGATAAAATTTGGAATATTTATGTGATGAAAAAGATAACTGATCGATTGTTACAACATGAACTCTTTCCTAGACACTCAAATTTCACTGAGAAATTGTTTCCTGTTCTAGATTATATGTCAACACACAGTTTAATTCCAGACAAAAAAAAATCAGTAAATTTTCCAATCCATTTATGTCATCAGTTAATTGTAAAAGAGTCTTATTGCCAAAACATATATATACCTTTACCTCTTATTGAAAAATAATTTAGTCTCTTTTTTTAAACATTGTAATATACTAGTTTATTATTGTTCATAGGAAAATTGGTTTAAGAATTCTAGTGGTACTTTTCCCACCATCTTTATACACAAAGAGATGCACGTAACCTATGAGCTTATTATTAATGGATGTTAACTACTAATCTTTACATTGTTAGGGTTTGTTATTCATAAATTCGATAAAATGTTAAATGGGAAAAGAGCAGCAGATCAGAAGAATCATAATGTCCAATAGAAGACAGAAATAAGCCAGATAAAAATTCATTGAAAACAGCAGAGAAAAGAACAGGTCAGCAATGACAACAATCATCAAGAAACCCTGCTCCCTGTTTACAACTGACAAACAGGGCGTGAGCCAAACCAGACAGTGTTCAAGCATCCTTAAGATCAATTGTTTCCTCTCAGCAACCTACTAAGGCAATGCTACTTTCCTGTATGCTGAAGAGTCTGATTTTATAGCATTAATGAATATGGTGAATGGTAGAAGTCAAGAAATCCTGACGCTGTCTCACTCCCCATGTAACCATGTGGAGGAGCTCAAGAGCTTACTCTACAATACAGCGCGCACACAGACAGAGTGAAAGAATGCATGGGGACAAAAATCTTCTTCATCTGCTGTTATCCAACCAAGTGTCACTTGCCTTCAGTGCCCCACAACCCTAGTGTATTAGGGCTGACCAGCTCTTTCCCACCTGCTGGTGTTCGCATTCATTTAGCCTGCAGAGGGCTTTCCTAAATTATCTTTCGAAGTGGTGAAACAGTTTCCTTTCTGAACAGAGACTTTCTTCTCATTATGGATCTGCTTGTTTGTATTATCAGACCAAACACTTTCTCCACAACACAGATGATAATAGGATGGGTAGGTTGCCTGGTTTGGTAGGCAATGCACAGCCCTTCACCCCTGGCCCCACCAAACAGGTAGGGGGGAACAGTATCATGCAACAGGGCAATGTCATTTTCAGCCCCAAAGCAAAAAAAAAAAAAAAATTGAAGTGACATGACCAAGGCTCATGGGTGGAGGAAGGAAAACACAGGCAGATGGAATGGGAAGGGAGATGGTGGATGGGACGGTGGTGGGCAGAGGTGGGGAGCAGTGTTCCCTCTAAGCTGAGTTAGTGTGAGCTGGCTCACAGTTTGTTAGCCTCCGGCTCACACATTTTTGTCTCAGCTCAGGAAGGAAGGCTCCAGAGCAAACTGACTTGTGCAGCAGCCAAATGGCTCGCTCACAACTTTAATGCTAGTAGCTCACAAACCAGAATTTCTGCTCACAAGACTCCACAGCTTAGAGGGAACATTGGTGGGGAGGGGGGCGCTTCTGTGACTCCAGCACACTGACATAATATTAAGTAGACAGTGTAGAAATGTATTCCTTCTCATTCACACAGCAGCAGGATGGGCCCAGGAGATCAAATCAGTTATCAAAAAGAAGGAGGACTGCATGGCAAAAAGCAGAGTATAAAGATTTCAAAACTGTGGGAGAACAGGAAGTCCTTTTTATATGGATAGTAGTCGTCACAATTACTCAACATCCTTTAGTACAGATTATTCCTTCATC